TTTATTATTTATTAATACATTCTACATTCATTAATTTATTCATTTGTTCATTTTTTAATAATGAATTAATCTAATTTGTATTTAACTGTTATGTGTTTCGATAAGTATCAAGTTGCTCCTCGCTCTGATGAAGTGAACTGCAAGGCTCACGAAACGTTGACATTCCAAAAATGGATCTAGACACGGAGAAAACTCGTGAAACACACAATAGTTATATAGAAAGCATCCGTGGAAGTCTCAAGAATATCTAATTTGTATTGTTGTTTAGGTATATATTATTATTTTTATTAATATTGTTGATGAATTAACTTCTTAGGTGTCAATAAGCTGACAAATTCTGTCATCATAATGACAAGAAAAACATTACGGTTACAAATAAATACCGAATTCACAGCCATGCTACAGTATCTTACAGTATCTTACAGAAATTTTGGAAGGAACTAAGTACGTGTGTATTACAATTGATATTTGGTCATCATCGAAAAGAAATTTTCTTGGGATAACTGTTCATTGGGTATTTTTATACTAATTATTTTTATTTTTAATAGCTATAATGATACATAATGCATACTGAAAATTACATTTTGATTTATCATGTTGAGAGTAATGATTTTTTCATGAAGTTTTTTATATGAAATTTATTGTATTGATAGTTATTTGGCAATATTTCGATTTGTTATATTCACATTTTAATTGAAAATGAAATGTTATTAGAAATAATATTTATCATTTTGTATAATTATATAATTTTTTAAATCAGATTCAGAGGAAAACAATTACAAATTTTTTCGTGAATTTTTATTAATTCATTAATAACTTTGTATTTAAATGTATATGTGTTTTTTTTTCATAGATAAATGCAAGTTTTCAGAGGGAAAGTGCGGCTGTAGCTTGTCGCAGGTTTAAAGATAGACATTATTATAACAAGATTGCTGAAATGATTCATGATATACACTGCGAATTTTTAAACTTGACGCAAAAAAAGTTGTAAAAGTAACAACAAAAATGCATCAAACATGATGAAAGCCTTTTTGATATTCAGTCAGAACAATCAAATCGATTTGGATAATAACGATAATGATGATTCAGATGATGATTTTATTATACAAAACATAACTGAGAGAATTACGAGTAACGTCAATTTTATGTCCAACATATTTTTACCTGTACATCGGCGCTGTACAAGTCATACAATAAATGTTAATCACAGTTGATATCAAAGCCGCATTAACAGGGCCTTTATCTGGAGGGAACTATAGTTGTTCCTATCATTCTACTTTTGGAAAATGCTCTGCCATGGAATTTAACATCCCGCTCTCCTAAAGCTACGGAGACATGTCGATATTACAGGAAAGGCCTCATCATCACCCTGTGTCACTCGTTGGAATTCGACCTTCGATTGTTTAAATGACAGTCAAACAATTCCTTGGTAATTTTTGCGACTGTTTGAACTTGATCTATCAAAATTTAAATAAACTGATTTTGAATTTTTAGCAGAATACACTGAATGCGTCAAACCAATTGCGGAAACTTTAGATAAGTTACAAGACGAGAAAAATTGTTTTTATGACGAATTTTTACTCATTTTATTGCAAACGCAAAAAAGTTTGCAAAAATTACAATATCAACATTTGAAATACTGTGCGAAATTAGTAATTGTGTTGTTAGAAGGCTTGTATAAAAGATTTAGTAATTTTGATTTTTCCTCACGAGTAAATGATACTATTTTAGCTGTTAGTCATCCGTTCCTTAAGTTACGATGGATATCAAAAAAAAGAAAAAAAATGATAAAGAATTGCTTATTAATGAAACTGAATATTTACTAAATTCTGTGTCAAAAACTCGAAATTTGATGAATACATCCGAAATCACAAGCACATTTTTTTCTTTTGAAGGAGGATCATCTTCGGATGAAAGTGTTACAAATACCTCTGTTAAAAATACTGTTGAACTGCAATGCTTGCAGTATTTGCAAGATGAAGATACATGTTTGGACATACTTAATAAATTTCCTATTGTTAAAGAAGTTTTTATAAAATATAATATTGCACTTCTATCATCTGCGCCAATAGAACGTTTATTGTATGGAGGTATGATTATGCGTCCTAATCATCGAAGTATGCACGATGATATATTTGAAAAGCAATTGCTATTCAAAGCAAACAATGTGTTTATCAAATAAAAATAGATCTGTATTACTGTAAAATGTATTAATTTTTTATGAATATCCAAATAAATTACAAATTAAACTATAAAGAAGAAATTAATTCCAGATCCATAAATATCGATTTTAATAAAAAAAATGAACGTTCCAGCATTATGCAAAGTAATTTCAAACGTAAAATACTTAAAAATATGTATACTAAGAAAAACTATTTTACATTTGAAAACCATTTAAAATACCTATTTATCCATTTTACATTTAAAATGGATTCGAAAAATCTATTTTATATTTTGCATTTTAAATACACTTTTTAAAAGTATTTTATATTTAGTATTTTAAATGGAATTCGAAAGGCATTTTACCCAGCCCTGCTCACGAGTGTGATGCAACTTCGTCATGCGTCTGCAATTAATATTTTTACAGGATGTCCAGAAAATTGCCCACAATACTTTAGGAAGTGATTCCAAAAAGAAGGAAAAAGAACTGTTTGTTTCCGAATCACTTTCCGAAGTATTGCGGACAATTTTCCAAACACCCTGTAGTATATACAGGGTTGGCCATATTCGACGGAAAGATGTTTTTTTTTCAATCATGGGAAAGAGATGTTAGATCGAGTAACGACGTTTCCCATGATTGAAAAAAAAAACATCTTTCCGTCGAATATGGCCAACCCTGTATATACTACAGGGTGTTTGGAAAATTGTCCGCAATACTTCGGAAAGTGATTCGGAAACAAACAGTTCTTTTTCCTTCTTTTTGGAATCACTTCCTAAAGAATTCTGGGC